CCTTTTCCCATAGACCTACTCGTTATCTTCACCATTGCAATAATAAATCAGGATTGACCTTCGACCTTCACTTCTTTCTTTCAAAAGATCTTTGAAAAAAAAAAGAGGACGGGCGTCTTTTTCGGTGGTACAAAAATATCATTTTAAAGAGTAAGAAAAACAGGATTTGAACCACCTTCCCCTCTCACGGCAGGCTGGGCATGCTACACTGGCAGGCATCGCCTCCCAGCATGATTTTACACAGCTCCTCACAGATGTTGTGTTCGTTGATGGGTGGGGAGAGAGAGAGAGAGAGAGAGAGAGAGAGAGAGAGAGAGAGAGAGAGAGAGAGAGATAAGGAGAGAGTGAATGAGTGAGTTTATCTCTGTCCACGGATACCTATACCAGACCTTACGCAAAAAATAGATTTACGACAGGGCCCAGTGTAATGGCGGTCCTAATTCACCGGATCTCACCCCGCATCCTCCCCGCCCCCTCTCCGCCCCCCTTGATTATTTGTTTTTACTTTGGAGATATCTAGAATCTGTTTTGAACCAGAATCAGCCACGTGCTATTGGGTTTATGGAGGGTGAAATAACAACACAAAGCGCCCAAAGACCTATCCTGAAACACCCAGGCGTGTAATAATGCACCTTTTTGATAAATCTCATAAGTGACGTCATGGAAGAAAGGTGTTTCAACTCACTTTTGGAATGGGCAAAAACGTCCATTTTCCGATAGGACAGAGAGCTAAATGGGTGAGGAGCCTTAAAACTTTCCAATAGAACCCCCCCCCCCCCCCCTGCCCCTCCACAACTCATTTTTTCCTCTTCGGGTTTCGAACCGGAGCCAAATATTCCCTGTATTCCAGGATGATACCAACTGAGCTGATGGTGTGCCGTATATAATAAAAGAACATAGCCCAAAAAAGTTGTCGCAAATTGTAGCAATATTCTTTTCCCATTATCTTGTTGACATTATCAGTAAACAAAAGGCACGGTGCACGTCATTAAAGCGAATGACACAATCTTGCATGTCCATCCAGCATGCGTTTGTGTGTGTGTGTTTGTTTGAGTGTGTATGTGTGTGAGTGTGTGTGTGTGTGTGTGTGTGTGTGTGTGTGTGTGTGTGTGTGTGTGTGTGTGTGTGTGTGTGGTGTGTATAAAAGAGGGTGAGAGAGAGAAAGAGAGAGAGAGAGAGAGAGAGAGAGAGAGAGAGAGGGAGGGAGAAAGAGAGAGAATGAGAGAGAGAATGAGAGAGAGAGAGAGAGGGAGGGAGAAAGAGAGAGAATGAGAGAGAATGAGAGAGAGAGAGAGAGAGAGAGAGAGAGAGAGAGAGAGAGAGAGAGAGAGAGAGAGAGAGAGAGAGAGAGAGTATGAGTGCCGACGAGTACATGTACATGTATGTATTTATCATGTCACAGCAAATTTCTTTTGTGTGGACAGCAATAAATATTTATCTGTCTATCTTATCTTTATTGCTATACACCACTTTTTTGCTCGGCTTAGCTTTTTATTGTGCTGCAAAGGGTGTTCTGTTTAAAGACCAAGCCATTAATGATTAATAATCAGTTTTATCAACACAATTGAGCTAAGGAATGTGTGGGAAAACTACGGCATGCAGGCAAAGTAAAACCGTATAATATACTGATTTATGCCACCCACAGAAACAATCGATGAATTTAAAAAAGATGGAAAACAACCAACGTTTGAGGAGGGATTTGCATTGTTAATTTAGCCCCTACTGTGGTCAATAACAGGAATCGCAGCTTAATCTCAAATACAGAGAAAAAAAAATTGTTTGATTTTTTTTTTTTCATTTCAACTTCTAATCTTTTATGATTGGAATGCAGTCTATGTTTGGTTAATTACATCGCTGTTTAAAAAGTATCCAGTAAACCTCATGTATTCCAGTTTTGTAAGGTGTTGGTGGGTCCTTGTACGTTCTCCATTGCCTTGTCGAAGTGGCACCCGATCCCAAACGTTTGCCCACGTCTTCTCTCTGCTAAAGCTATATATAACTCCTTAAAAACTAACGCTACGACATCGTAGATTAGTGTGTCACGTGCTCAAAAACACCTTTATTTATAGAAACAATAACCTGACCATTTCTGTGCTATACTGTATAAAAACAAACGTTTATATCTCAACTAGTTGTCGTCCGCTGAAGGAAATAGGATCTTTGAGGAGAGGAGAGAATCAACATTAACGAAAAAAAAGAAGAAAAGAAATAAACACAAGGAATAAACACCAATTGTAAGGCTTTAATTTATAAAGGCCCAATTTAATTAATTAAATTGTTTTTAGACGAACGGGTCTCGAATTGAAACAGCCTGGAAAATAAAACGGACAATAAAGTAAGGATAAGTGAATAAAGATGGCGGAAGAAAGAGCGAAGATGAAAAATGTACGCGGATTAAGGACACGATGATGGAGGTATGGCCTTTTTTTTTCAAGGGTTGGGCGTTGAATGGGAAGGAGAAGGAAGAACAGTGGTTGTGAGGTGGGGGGAATGGACTGGGGTTGGGGGAGTGGTGGGGAAGAGATGGGAAGAGAGTAGGTTGAGGGGGGTGGCTGAAGAATATAATAATAACATAGTTTATTTTTATTGAACTATTTTTTGTAAGTTATGCATGTGCTTTGTGTGAGCTTGAGTCTGTAATACAAACACAACCAAGAACAAACATTCACCCATACGCAATCATACACAAATACAATTCGTAAAAACGCACAATCCCACAGACACACACACACACACAGACAAACGCACAGACACACACACTCACACCCATACACACACACATTCAAGGTAATGTAAACGCACAAAGAGAGTGAGTGAGAGAGAGAGAGAGAGAGAGAGAGAGAGAGAGAGAGAGAGAGAGACAGACAGACAGACAGACAGACAGACAGACAGACAGACAGACAGACAGACAGACAGACAGACAGAAAGGGAGAGAAGGTAAGAGAGAGAGGAGAAAGAAAGAGAGTGAGAGAGAGAGAAAGAGAGAGAGAGAGAGAGAGAGAGAGAGAGAGAGAGAGAGAGAGAGAGAGAGAGAGAGAGAGAGAGAGGAGAAAGAAAGTGAGAGAGAGAAAGAGAGATAGAAAGAGAGAGGAAAAGGGGGGGGGGGGGAGAGGGGTTCAGAAAGAGATAAGACGCCAACCACACAATAAAACTTATTTATAAATAGCTTTTGGGCACGACTTTGCACTAATCCGTGGGGTCACGTGATCAGATTCTCTGTTGGCCGTCAGGTTCATGGTAGCCCTGACAGCTAGGGACATCCTGTCCCCTTTAGTGACCTAAATTACCTCGAAGTGAACGTAAACTCTTCGCAATCAATCAATCAATCAATCAGTTTGGTTTGCACCTCTCCCTTGAGCGGTATATTTCTTCCTCCAACCCCCACCCACTCCCAACCTCCCCAAGAATAAAATAAATAAATAACAAAAATAAATACATAAATAAATAACAAATACTTTTTAGAAATAATAAATAGATAAATAATTAAATATAAAAAAACGAAAAAAAAACAACCACCTCGTAAACAAGAGAAAAAAGAAAACAGCAAAGCAAAATATAATCACTGCTTTCAGGTTAATGGTAGTTAAAATCGCACGGCACCTGCAAACACAATCAGACCAAATAAATGTCGAAGATTAGGGGTATTACTAGACAGTAACTTTCAAAGACTTAGAGTTTGAGTGATAATATTGTTATACGTTTGATAGAAAAGAAGGAGCAAACCACCACACCAGGGTACCCACCAAGCACTGCAGAGAAATTTTAGTTTCTCAATTTTCATTTTTCAATTTCGTCATATTCGTTTTCGTCTAATATTGATTCGATTACTTAGGTTACTGCAACCAAAGATCGTGTATAGCAAGATAGTTCACTCCTCTCTTTGAGCCAATTAAAAAGTGTCCTCAAAATTCGGTGGCGCCCTCTTCGAAAAAGTGCGAACTTTGCGATCGAGTAACACTATTGTGTGAAAAACAATAAAAGTGAAACTAACAAACTGTACTATTCCTATTTTTCTTCTGGGGAAACGAAAAAGAGCTTCAGAACAAAGACTGCAGCGCTACCTGAACCAATGCGCGGCTTTCCGAGGACACTTTTGTGACTGAGTGAACTATCTTGTTATGTACGATCTTTGCTGCAATTGTCGCTCCAATTCCAATATGGTTTTACGATACAGGGAGAAAATTCGTTGCTTATTGTCATTTAACTTGGAGGTGGAAGTGACATTTTGTGTAGGATAAGAAATTGTGTAACATGTTTTAAGATGTCTCTGATAAAACAACTAGATTTTTAAAAAGCATTGTAGTAAAACTTTTTAGTTTAACAAGTGTTATAAATCCAGGGAAAATTTCATTTTGCGACGCTTTCATGGGATGCAGTCTTTTTGGGAAGTAAGCCCGCTTTTGTTTGAAGTCATAGGCTCCTAAAATAACTACACAAAGTAACATTATATCAGGCCAAGACACAAATCCGATCGCTCTCCTTCGTTCAGTAAAAGCCAACCCGAGCCCTCAGTTCAAAACTCACTTGCCCTACAATGCACATCCGCAGCTGTCCATTCTCTCAAATGGGCCTCAAGTGGGTCGCTATGACGTCATGCAAATAAAATACTTTTGACTAATCTTGAGACTTGGGGGAGGCGGAGGCGGTGCTCAAATAAACTTTCCTTGTGACCATCATTGTTGTTGAAGTTGTGCACCCTTGACCATCAATGATTTATTTAAAGAGGCACCAGCCATCCATGTCCAGGTGCTACTTAAGCCGAGGTTGTGCACGCCGTAAGCAACAATTACAAAGTTCCATCTGCTCCGTACCTAGTTTTGAGAAATTTGTCGTCAAAGATATTGAGTTTCAGAACATTTCAAGTTATTTCGAATACAATTCTTTGAATATTTTGATAACGACTCCAAATAATCTTACGATTTTAATAGAGCAGATAGAACATTAATTTTTTTTAAATCTCATGATCTTAGTTACTCAAAACCACCCAAAATAAATGTCAGATAGAACTTTGTTATTCTGAGGAAAGGAATTAGTACGCCCTCGTTGACATAAAGATTTAGATAAATTAAGAGGCATTCTTCTTCGACTCTCTCTGTGAAAGCCATCCTGAGCTTAGAGGGTATACAAAGTCTCATTACACTGACGGAGCTGCTCCATAAAACAAAACAAACAAATAAAAATACCAACAACAAAAACACACAACAAACAAACAACAACAACAACAAAAACACACAAAAAACAACCTCCTCACATGAGAATGGAGCTCACGTCTTTTTCTCGCGATAGCGAAGCTCCCAACGGAAACATCACAGAGGCCGGATGAAGTCCCTGTTCTACACGACAAGAACTATACAGAGTACAAGAAAGATAGTATGGAGTTTTGGCATTTTTTCTACTCCACAAGGCACGTTTGTTGGCGTTTGGTGGATAGTATAAAGATAGTTTGCTCTTTTTTCATGCCAAACGTCGTTCGTTCTTATTACTCTTCCTTTAAAAAATGTTACTTCCTTTCTATGTAATGTACTAACATCTCTTAACTTCGATGTTTATATGACCTACTCGTGTTCAAGTACGGTAAAACTCTTACTAAAATAACGCTCTATACAACTCACGTTTGATCTTGAAAGAGAGAGAATATTTGTGTAGTTCACAGCTGGTCACACCGATTCCTCTTCCAGTTCACTCCGATGTCCAGTGGCCCTCTGGATAATCAACGTTCCTGTCTGGCTTATAAAACAGCACCAAGTCACCTCAGATTTATTTTTCTCAAACTGGAAGAAACAAAACAAAAAAGACTGTCGTCCATAAAACTGCGAAGAAGATAATATACGCATTTACTAGGACAAATAGAACAGGAAAATGCTGTGGTTGGACTCTTTGATCACTGGTTAATGTGTCAGAGTGTGAGCGGACGAGTGGTTTATAACGGCTGTATTTTATGGTGGGATCCACGACGTTTTTCATGTCGGAGAAAAAAATCTTTTTGGATTATATATTGGGGTGCTGATAGTAACTGCTAGGATTCTGTCTCTCCCCGGCTCTTTCTCTTTCTTTGCTTTCTTTCTCTGTATCTCCACCCCCCCCTTCTTCCTCTGTGTGTGTGTGTGTGTGTGTGTGTGTGTGTGTGTGTGTGTGTGTGTGTCTCTCTCTCTCTCTCTCTCTCTCTCTTTCTCTCTCGCTCCCTCTCTTTTTATCTTTTTCACACACATACACACACACACACACACACACACACACACACACACACACACACACACTCACACACAAGCACACAAAAATACACACAAGCACACGCAGACCCAGGCATCCAGATTAGGAGTCTGATTTATAAAGGGCAAGATTAAGAGAAGATAGATAGACAGACAGATCTTAATGCAGGAAAGTCCGTGGTAAGACTTCTAGAGAAATCGATCCTCCAATAACTCCAACGGACGACATCGAGCTTCCGAGGGATATATACAATGATATTATTGTTATCATTCAGAGACAAACAGTTATTCTACGCATTCAGCACATCAGGAAAAAGAATTCAGGTTAAGAAAAATTCAAGCCTCACCCTTTTCCCCTCATAAAAATAAAACAGAAACAAACATCGCACGTCTTAGCTGTTTCAACAACACGTTGGACTCTCTCAGTCTTGACCACTGCGCCACTGAGGACCCCCCCCCCCCCTTTCAAGTCCTGTCTGTTTTGCAACCCTTTAAAAAAAAGATGGAGGTGAAACTTTGATCTTGATGTTTTTTAAACTGGATGAACGTTGCTAAGATTTCCTCACTCCGAAAAATCAAACTCACGGTCATTCTATTTCGAGTCCACCCGCATACACAGATGCCTTCCATTGTGTTAGAACTTTAAAGGCCACCAGAGAAGTGGAGCTGGATCTGCGTGTAGTTGAAAAACGCTGATTGTAGGAATATTGTGTCTGTGGTTTCATGGCTACCCTTTTTGCCTCACAGTAAAAAAAAAATGCAAACAAAAATAATAAAACAGAAAAACCTGGCGAGTTCACAATCATACTTTACGAAGATAATTATTCTTCGAAAGTCTTTCTTTTGGAATCAGAGTTGCCACGTTGGCAGATTTCCTGTCAAACGCCAGAAATTTGGCAGTTTATGAAGTCGTTTGACAGGACAAAGATCTCTAGACAGTATTGACAGTTTTCCTCTTTTTGTAAAGTCGATTTTTTAAAACTGCAGTTTCACTTTTCTTATAATTTATTGGAATTAGTGGCTGAGTTAGCAGTGAGTCAATGAGTACAGACTCACAACTATTACCTAGCAAGTCGTTGCCATTTAGATTTACAAGGTTCTATCTGACATCATAGACTGTTTTGAATGACTATAAGACCATGAGGTCAGAAACTAAATGTTCTATTTGCTCTATCTGAATCGTAGAATTATTCGGGATCGTTATCAAGATATTCAAAGAACTGCATTCGAAAAAGCTTTACACGTTGTGAAGCTCACATTTTGCACGTCCAATTTCTCCCAACTTGGCCAAGGGGAGGTAGGACGAGGTAATTCTAGGGAAGCGAGGTGTCAGTGACATAGGGTTCAGATGGCTGGTCACTGGAGGGTGTCCTTGAGCAAGACAACATTCATCATCATCATCATCCAGTGCCAGATCTGCGACAGACATCGGCGATCACGGTTTTCCATTCATTCCTTTGCTCGGATACTCTCAAAAAGCTACGTTTCCCTGATCTTTCCCTGTTACCCATTTGTTTAGGTTCCCTAAGTATGTTGTTCTGGGCCCACCCCTGGCTCGCTTTCCCTCAGTTTTGCCAGTGAGAGCTAGATGTTCAAGACCCTTATGCCTATTCAGGTGTCGCAAAAAACTTAATTTGTCGTTTCCTGATTGTTTTTAACATTGATCGTCCCACGAGGGCTTCATCAATCACTACCTCATTTGATTTCTTTTCCTTCCACGATACTCTTAGCAATCTCCTAAGAAACCACATTTCTGTTGCTTCTATTTTATTTTCACTGAATTGAGTGATTGTCCAGCTTTCACAGCCATATATAAGACAACATTACCCTAGCTAAAAAATAACCAGGATGCTGCATACTGGCGTCCAGCAAAGCCGTGATATTTGTAAAATGGTTCTCCACGGGTTTACTCTTGTCTATTTAATGTTCTTTGAATGTAACATTTATGTCAGTTTATTATGTATTTATGTTTGTTTGCCATTGCAACCCAAATTTCTCCACGAGGGATCAATAAAAGTGATGTTATTTATTTATTTATTTATTTATTTATTTATTTATTTATTGATTTATTTATTTATTTATTTATTTATTTATTTATTTATTCATTCATTCATCCATTTCATGCAAATCTGTAGAGGACCTTCAATATTGGGGGCAGCCACTTAGGTTCGAAAAAAGTTGTCTTTTACGTCGAATAAAACACAATCTCACCGGTGGCAAAGTTCGGCAGTTTTCACGTAAGTTTGGCTTTTTATTTTGCTTCATCAATTTGGCTGCGAGCCTTAGAATAATCTGGCAACCTTGGGAAGAATGTATCTCACTCAGCCATGGCAGACAATGGCCAAGGTGGATCTTGTAGTCTAGAGGTAAGGTCCCGGGTTCGAAACCTGACGGCGACGGTGTTCTCTGAAATCTTCTCCTTTCACCTCTTTTCTTACTCTCAAACCCCGCTCTGCCGTCTGCTGTTGTCTCCATCCGGGCAAAATTCAAATTTCCTACCAAAACAGAAAATGTTTGATGTGTCCCGCGCGCTCATATTTCGACCATATGCAGTTGCGAGCGCCATAAAACACCTATCAAAACATACAAGACGAAGACGAAGGAGCCCGCCACGTAAAATGGCCTACTTTGTATCGATAGACTCATACCAAAGAGCAATAACCATTTCACAACACTCCTGTAGGACCTGGAAGAGTTCAGAGGCCGACACGGGTGTCACGAGCTTGCACTTTCTCACCACGTGTACGCACGCTTTAACAAGACAGTGGAACTTGCGACAATCAATCTTTTGTCACACGCGTTTCATAAATTCTGAATGCCCCTAAAACATGGTGCCGTCCTAAAGAAGAGTGACGTATCTGATCAAATGGAGAGGATTATTTATGTATTTATTATTTTGTTTTCATTAATTTATTGCATTTTTCTAGCCTATATTTTTTTCAAACGCAGTAGGGCTTTCTACTGAGGCGATTAAAATGATACTGACACTGTAAGAAGCACACAGCAGGGTGGAAGCAAATTCTGTCCCCTCCCCCCCGAGCCACATACCACCACACACAATCCCCGTTCTCAAAATAAGTTACAAGAATTTTTATCCCATTACCTAACAGTGACCCTCATACATTTACTTAAATAATAGGGGGTCTATTTTATATCAATTTCAGGTTGTAGGGTCAGGGTCGGGTTTAGGGTTAGGCTTAGGGTCACGCTTAGGGTCAGGGTTAGGATAAAGGTTACCCTTAGGATTGGCGTTCGAACTAGGGATAGGATACGGTTAGGGTTAAGTTGAGCTTGGGTTAAGTTTTCAGTGTTGTCAAAAGTTTTAACACCTCGCCTAGTTTCTGAGTCTTTAGGCTTCTAAATTTGTAGTTAGCACCTTTAGTCTATTACAATAGCATTAATCGATTCTATCAAACAGTGTGTTTTTGGCGCCACCGTAGAAGTTCAAGAAAACAAACACCCCCAAAACAAAAACAAAAACAAAACAACAACAAAAAACAAAACAAACGAAACCAACCAAAAAGACCAGAAAAAACAACAACCCCCCCCCCCCCAACAAATACGAAGATCAAAGAAATAGCTTCTGTGAAGTTGGGCCGTCCTTTGGACTTTGGACCATCCGGGCCGGGTGTTACTTCACTTTTTTATCTTACTGTGTCTCGTTCTCTTTTTTACATTAATAAACACTTGTTTTGCGTCGGGGTAAAATCAGACGCTCGTCAAAATAATGGAATCGAAGGAACTGTCATTTTTCCATTGTTTCGATACTTTGTATTGTTGGGTTTTTTTCTTCTCTTTTTCTCTTTTTGACCTGCACTTTTTATGTCCAATTGGAAACACAATTCTGTGTCGATTTTACAGGGAAAAAGTGTATCAAAGGCATAAATAGAAATACAAACAAACGCAAATTTGCAGTTTCCAGGTACTCTAAACGTTTGGAAGTCAGCAAACTTTGGAGGCTATTTTCTCGCTATTTTTTTACCTCTGACACCTGACAATCCCCATTTCATTCAATTGCAAATAACTTGACGTCTGTTCAAGATAACTGTGTTTGTTTGAATGTTGTGTTTTTTTTAACTTTAAGAAGGTATCAGTACCTCCATATGCCCCCAAACATTATATTTTATAATATATGGGACTGGGACAATAACAAGAAACTAGCCCAAGAAGGGGAAAAGTTGAACATAGTTGTCAGTGGCCAATACCGAGGCCGAGGGTGAGAAAGGCGCCGATGAAACATTAAAAATTTGTTTCACACCAGTGTTGCTTATGTTGTAAATTTTCCAGCAAATGTCAACAGCCTTTGGGAGCATGGTGATAATAATAATAACATAGACATTGTAAGCAGCAGACAGCGGGAAAAAACAAATTCTACCACCCCACCCCCAATCTCCCCTCGCCTCCCCCACTCTTACACACACACACACACACACACACACACACACACACACACACACACACACACACACACACACA